CCCCCTCTTCCTCCCACGAGTGCTCCCCCAAGGGATCTATGACGCCTGAGGGAACACGAAGGCCAGTAGCCTGGCAAGACTTCGGCCAATGTTTGGCCACGTAGGCGTTTCCAGAAGCCAGGGCCTGCGGTGGTTCGCCATTGGCGTCTTCGATAACGAGGGGGGGCATGAGGAGGGACCAACAACGCGGAGGTTACCTGGGCGATACTGGGCCTGGACTCAGCCGGTAGCGTGGGCCGCGTCCGCCCATTCTGCCCGAGGGCATCCATGATTCACTTCACCACGAGGGCGCCACCCTTCTTCACCACGATGACGAGCTCGTTCGCCTTGACCTCCTTGAGCATGTCCTCGGAGTTGCTGCTCACGCCGTTGATGGATGTGATGAGGTCGTTCGTCTCGATCGTGCTGCCAGGGTTCTTGTCGTTCCAGTCCTTGACGATGCCATCCTTGACTAGCTTGACTTTCAGAACCTTATTCTTCTCTTCTCCATAGTGAAAATGGGAGATGTCGAGACCAAGTTTCGCGTCACCCGTCTTCGTGAGGGTGACGGTGATTTCATGTGCCGTCGCGGCGGCTGGCTCGCGGGCACTCGTTTCCTGGACGTCCTGGACCTCAACCGCCTCCGCCGTCTCGGGCTGGGAGCACAACCCGCCCATCACGACAGTCCTCCTTGCACCGTTGGCCCTGGTGGGTCTCTGGTCGGCGCGCTCAGGGAGCCCGAGCGACTACGGCGCGAATGAAAACAGCTTGAGGCAGAAATAGCGAGGCGCAGGATGAAGAGGGGGGGCGAGGGAGGAGAAGCAGGAGGAGCTCCAAGCGGCTTACCCTGGCCGTCACTTCAACTTGCGGCTCCTTCAATGGAGGACAGCGGGTACGCAGGCCGAGAGCAGGGCTGGGAGACTGAGTAGGCAGCCACGCGTGTACGCGTGCCCCCTGCAACTTCTGCCCAGAAATGTTGGCCAGGTTGCGGGCCCAAAAACTGCGAGCGGGCGCATTTGAAGTGAACTCCCACCGACGAGAACCCCCCTGGATCAAACCGACTGGCGGGACAGTCAACACTGATAGTGAGGATGCGTGGTAATGATGCAAGCCCCTTGCACGACCATGTCGAAGCTTTTCGAGCGGGGCTGGCAATCGAAAGTGGTTGAGGATGGACCGAAGATGACCGAACAGGCAAGGATGCAAGGGTACCCTTTGGAAGTATCCTTCCCATCAGTGTTGACTGTAGGGGCAGGGGTCACGCGTGGATGCCTATCCCAGGGGCGGAGGAGGCAGTTGGGCGGGGAAGGCGCACGGCAGGCTATAAAGGCGAATCCCAGCCCGAGCCGCGCGAATCTCCCACCTAATGAGCCCATAGAGTCGGGCGTTGCTAGGGTTAGGTCGGGCGTGTCCCCCCGACAGGCGGATGTTGGAGGAAAAACGATAGAAACCCCAAACATGCTCAAACATAGTCGAAACACTGTCAAACAAATCGTCCCCAGAATATTTGTCAAACTATTTTGGACCATTCCTCCCGTATAGGGACAGGCCCGACTTACTGCCAGGGGTGCCCCGGGCTCATGGTGTCCACCGGGGATTCCGAGGATGCCCCCCGCAGCCTGCAGAGAGCACCCCTCACGATGGCCCAGCGGGCCCAGGGGCTCCAAAATGAAACGAAAAGCTGAGGGCACCTTAAAGCCAGGGGCACCTTTAGCAACCCCCGATCGAGGGGCAAGCATCGGGGGGAACGAAAGGGGGGGATAGCAAAGGGCAGGCTAGAGAATCCGCTCACGTAGCTGATTTTCCCAGCGCCTCCCAGCGCCAGGAGGCGCCCATGTATCTAGCAATGGGCCCGGCGGCGGGGCCGAAGCCAGCTGCATGCAGCAGATGTTCTACCCCCCCCTTTTCCTATTCCCCCCGTTCGTTCGGCCCGAAAGCAACAGCATAAAGACAAACTCTTGGGAGGTCTGCGCGGAGTTGTTGGCGCGCCAGGGGCGGCGCCGGATGCGCCGTCAGGGGGGCCCGAGCGCCGACCCAAGGAATCCGCGCGGAGCTCCGAGAGTGTATGTCTGTGCTGTTGTTCTTCTTTTTCTTAGATGGGCAGCGGGTGATGCCTTTTCGTTGCAGTCTCATTAGTGCGCGGCGAGCCTGCGCTCGTCAGGGGAACCTGTCCGCACAGATGCCGCGGATCGTGCTGCTCCACCGGCTTCGGTGCCTTTGACCTTCCAGGTGGCAGATCGGCTAAACACAAGGAGTGCGGGCGCCGTGGGGGACTGAGGAGTGAGGAGGAGACTCCGCCACCGCGAGGCGCAGCGGTTTGTCCGTGTGTGTGTGTGCGTCTTTGAAAAAAACGGCCACTTGAACTCGACGTCGCTTGGGTTGTAATTTCGGCTTCGCTACCACGCAGTGTGGTTAATTTGCCATGAGCGCGCCCCGCCTTCGTAGTATGGGGACCACCGGCTACATCCCATCGGAGCGACATATGAAGAATAATATGTTTGCATGGGTCTGCGACGTCCTCGGGTTTGCCGCTGGCCGCTGGCCCGTTTCCCTCCTCCCCTCTCCCTCCCTCCCCGGACTTGCGCTCTCATGTTTCCTTCCGCCTCATAGTTCCGTCATCGCCTGCGCGTTTCGGGCATCTACTGACCCTGGTCACTCCAAACCCGAGTCAGTCGGGCTTTGGAAAATCCTGCAAAATCCTGCAGGATCCTGCACCCTGACCCGGGTGAGTGCACCCATGCCTCAAAATCCAAAATCCTCGATCTTCGAGGGTTGAAAGCGGGAAAACGTGAGAAGGCGAAGAACATGAGAAAAACCATTGGAAATCAACGATTCTACCATCTTTGGGCTCTCTCGGGATGGCTCTCGCAACTCTCATGGGCTGTTCTTGGAGCCTCGTCGGGTTCTTTTTGGGGCATCTCGGGGATCGGGGGTGTGTTGGGGCCTCTGGTCGGTCCCGGAGGCCTCTCGGAGGTCTCTGGCAGCCTCCTGATCCCGCTCTTGGGCCCGTCTTGCGCCTGTTCTGGGGTGGTCTGGGGCTGTCCTGGGCGCTTCTTCAGCAATCTTGGAGCCTTCTTGGCCCGTGTTGGGGCAGTCCTGAGGGTCTCTTGGGTGGTCTTGGGGTGGTCTTGGGCGGCTCTTGGGCGTTCTGGAGCGTTGGAAGCTCGGAAACGCGAGAAGCCAAAAACATTGTCGGACGTCTCCTGGGGTCTCTTGGAGGCCATATGTGAGCCTCGAGAGCCGTCGGAAGGCTGACTTGGGCTGCTTGGGAGCGTCTTGGGCCATCCTTTCGCATTCTGGGGGCTCCTGGGCGGAGTCTTCGGCCCTACTGGAGCGCTGTGGAGGCTCCCCGGAAAGGCCGGGGGAGCGGTGCCGGGAGCGTTCCCGGAGATTTTCCGGGGGGGATGGGACCTGGGGCAGGGGGGGGCGGTGCTGATTTATGTTATATACGTGTGTATGTACATGTGCTTGTGTGTGTGTGTGTCTTCCGGCCCTTGCCTTTTCGATCTATTCTCTTTCTTGCGAGACAACAATGAAACAGAGGCACGCGACGCGTCGAACCGAACATGCCATGCCCATGCAATTGTCCAAATCCCTGCGCTTTGGGACCTCCGCGCGAAGAAACTAAAGCCACACACGGAATTGCTCAGCAGCGCATCTGCATTTGCAATCGTGCTGAAGCACTGAACGCAATGTCCTCAGGTCCTTTCAAATTCTCCGTATGAGGAACTCAATGCTCTCCACCTACAAACCCGAATTCCAAGCGCTGCCGGAATCCCGCTAGACCGCTAGAGTACTCTGGAACCAAGAAGGCCCCCAAACGGGCCAATAGGGCACGAAGAGGCCCAAAGACGAGCCAGAATCTCCGAAATATCGCTCCAAAGCGCACTAGATAGCACCAAGACGGCCAACGAACCCCCCAAGACGCCCCAAAAGGGCTCCAAGACGCCCCCCAAAGAGGGGGCCGACAGGCCAAAATAGTTGATGCTCCTGCGGTTGCTGGATTCATCTGGCGATCTCGCCTTTTCTGACTTCCGACGTTCCACGGCGGCCCCAAGAGGCGCCCAAGATCGCCCCAAGAGGCCCCCAAACCAGCCCCCAGATGGCCCGAGGGTGCCCCGAGACGGCCTCAGCAAGGAGAGCCCGAACTGGACATTTCGAGCCCTCCGCCCTGGGATGACCCCAGAGACCGCCTGCAGGCTCCCAAGATACCTCTCCGAAGCCCCACTGAAGCTCCGAACAGATCCAGACCAGGCCCTAAAAGGCTCTGAAACCCTAGAAGGCCCCCGCGAGCCCCCCCCCCAAAAAAAAGGCTACTGAGAGGCCTCCCTCCCAAGAGATCTCCACATGCATCCAAGAGGTCTCCGACCTACAACCCAAACAAGGTGGGATGGGCCGAAGGGCACTACATCCGTCGCCCCCCTGTGTTTAGCATTGGTGTTGTTTGCGTGGTTTGAACATGTTTAATAAGGTTCCGAGTGGCCTTCGTCTTGACCCGCCAGCAACACGGGCGAACACCATCCCATCGGCCTTCTCGTCCAAGATGGCCTCCAGATGGCATTGAAGACGGCAGATGTGGTCCCAGATGGCCTGCAAGACGGTGAATGTGGCCCTAGATGCTCACAAAGGCTGCTAAGATGGCACCGAGCTGGCCCAAGAAAATTCATGACGGCCCAAGATGCCCCCAAAAAGCCCACCCGATGCCCAAAGGAGGGCTACAAGAGGACCTCGTGGGGCCAAAATTACAAGGGCGCGCCGCTGGATCCCCAAGAGGGGGGGGCAGGGGGGACCCCCCTCCCCCCTTTCCCCGGTCCGTCGTCGGGACCCCCCCTCCCCTTTCCCGATCCGTCGTCGGGGAACATCCCCCCTCCCCCCCTTTCCCGATCCGTCGTCGGGGACCCCCCCCCCTTCTCCCCCCTTTTGGCAGCCAAAATCGCCCCCCCCCTTCCCCCCCTTTCGCTACGGCGCCCCGTAGCTCCGGAACCCGACCCCTGCCACCTCTAACGCTAATATTCACCCTAACCCTAACCCCTAACCCTAACCCCAAACACTAGCCCCAAACCCCCAAACAGTACTCACTGCTCACCACGCACTACTCACTACCCACTACACACTACTCGCTACGCACTACTCACTTCTCACTTATCACTACTCACTCATCACGTCTCACTACTCAATTCCCGCTACTCACCCACCACTACCCACTACTCACTACTCCCTACTCCCTAGTCCCTTCTCCCTACTCACTGCTCCCTACTGGATACTCACTACTCACTACCCACTACTCAAACCCACTACTCACTAAACATTACTAATTACCCACAACTAACGAATCACAAATCCCTACTCAATACACACTAACCAGAATCCACTACTCACTACTCACACTTCACTACTAACTACTCACTGCCCAAAAATCACTACTCACTATTAACGACTCGCTACTCGCTACTCCCTGCTCCCTACAAAATACTCACTACTAACTACTCACTACTTGCTATTCCCTACACCCTACTCGCTACCGAATAAGCACTTCTCACTACCCACTACTCACTATTCACTACGTTCCCACTACTCACTACTCACTACTCACTACTCCCAACTCACTACCAAGTACTCAATAATCACCACCCACTAAACACTACTCAGTGCTGGCTACTCACTACTCACTTCTCACTTGTCACGACCCACTTACCAGTACCCACTACTCACGAGTCAGGACGCACAGCTCACTACTCACAACTCATTGCCCACAACTCACTACTCACTATCCGCTGCTCGCTACTCGCTGCTTCCCACTCCAAACACACTACTCACTGCTCACTACTCACCACTCACTACTCGCTAAGCCCTACTCGATACTCGCTATCCTATACGCAATATTCAGTACACACAACGCACGACTCACTACTCCCTACTCCCCACTCACTAGTCCCTGACCACAAGTCGCTACTCACTACTCACTATTCAGTGCTCACTATTCACTACTCACTACTCACTAATCATTACTCGCTACTCCCTAGTCGCTACTCACTACTGACTACTCCCTCCTCACTACGCACTACTCACAACGTGGTATCGCGATTCACTATCCACCACTCGCCACTTCCTATTCGCAACTCACTACTCACTACCCATGTCCCCTAGACCATTATTCACTATTCACTACTCGCTAGTCTTTACTTACTGCACACCACTCACTCCTAATCCTCACTACTCGCTACTATCTACTCACTACTCACTACGCACTACTCTCTACTCACTAACCACTACTCACTACCCCGAGGCCAGACCCTCGCCCTTTGCGGGAGAGGCCCTCTCCCCGGCCCCCTGTTCGGCGCAGAGGGGGGAAGGGGGGGTGGTTCGAACCGCATGTGGGCCGAATCCCAGACACCTGGGCCCAATCCTAGCCAACTGGTACCAATCCCAAGCACTGCGATAACCAAACTGGGCCCAATCCCAACCGGTTTGGGATAGCCTCACAATAAGTTTTAAGTGTAGAGAAGCCCAAGACGACTGTGAGGACTGAGTGACACCTCTTATGTCAACGCAGCGGTTCTGGAAGCCTACATGCGTGCCAGAGTTGGACTTCGTCTCAGTTTGGTCTGCGCACGAGCAATATGTTAAGATGAGCAAGGGGGCACCGACCTGTGGGCAAAACCGCACCGAATTGCAGATATTCTGAAATATGCAAACTGGCTCCGAGTAGTAATGCTAGTAGTGGTAGTAGTAGTAGTAGTGGTAGTAGTAGTAGTAGTAGTAGTAGTAGCAGTCGTAGTCGTAGACGTAGTCGTAGTACTAATAGGAATAGTAATAGTCACAGTAGTCGTAAAGTAGTAAAGTAGTAGTAGTAGTGGTCGTAGTAGTAGTAGTAGTAATCGTAGTAGTAGTGGTAAAAGTCGTCGCCGTCGTAGATGTAGTCGTAGTCGTCGTCGTAGTTGTAGTAGTCGTAATCGAATTAGTGGAAACAGTAGTAGTGGTAGTAGTAGTAGTAGTAGTAGTAGTAATAATAGTAGTAGTCGCAGTAGTAGTCGTAGAAGTATGTATTCGTAGTATTCCCAGTGGTGGTGGTGGTAGTAGTACTAGTCGCAGGTGGTGGTAGCAGTAGTATTGGTAGTAGTAGTAGTAGTAGTCATAACTGTAGTCGTAGTCATAGTCGTAGTCGTGGTCGTGGTCGTAGACGCAGTAGTAGTAGTAGTAGTAGTAGTAGTAGTAGTAGTAGTAGTAATAGTAGCACCAGTAGTGGTAATGGCAGTAATGGTAGTAGTGGTAGTGGTAATAGTAGCGGTAGTAGAAATAGTCGTAGTAGTAGTAGTAGTAGTAGTAGTAGTAGTAGTGGTAGTGGTAATGGTAGTGGTAATGGTGGTGGTAGTTGTAGTGGTAGTGGTAGTGGTAGTGGTAGTGGTAGTGGTAGTGGCAGTGGTAGGTAATAGTAGTAGTCGTAATAGTAATAGTAGTAGTAGTAGTAGTAGTAGTCGTAGTAGTAGTAATAGTAGTAGTAGTAGTAGTAGTAGTAGTCGTAGTCGTAGTCGTAGTCGTAGTCGTAGTAGTGGTAGTAGTAGTAGTAGTAGTAGTAATAGTCGTAGCAGTAGTAGTAGGAGTAGTAGTAGCAGTAGTAGTAGTAGTAGTAGCAGTAGTAGTAGTAGTAGTAGTAGTAGTAGTATTAGTCGTAGTCGTAGTCGTAGTCGTAGTCGTAGTCGTAGTCGTAGTCGTAGTCGTAGCAGTAGTAGTAGTAGTAGTAGTAGTAGTAGTAGTGACTATCCCGTTGGTAGTGAGAGGATGATGATGAGGAGGAAGGGGAGGAGGAGGGGGGGGAGGAGAAGGAGGGAAATGAATAGGAGGAGGAACCAACACCAAAATTATTTCCGTCGGCCTAATGATTTCTCCGTCGGCACAAAGATTTCTCAGGATTCCGATGGCTTCGTAAAAATTCCTAAGGATTCCTGGAGGAATCTTGAGGGATCCGGAGGAATTCCTAAGGATCCTAAGGAATCCTAGGGATCCTAAGGAACTCGAAGGAATCCTAAGGAATCCCAAGGAATCCTAACGAATCGAAGTACTTCTGAAGGAGAAAGAAATACTTCTGGAGAAGAAAGAAGTACTTCTGAAGATCCCATGGTTGTATTTGGTCCCATTTCCGGTTGCAGTTCGCTCCGAACGGTTGGAATTGGGACTAGTCAGTTGTAATTCGTCCCATTTCGGGTTCGACCCCCCCCCCCTTTCCAGCGCCAAGGGAGGGAGGCGGGGGGGGGTCCGAACCCCCCCCTCTCCCCCTTCAAGGGGGGGTGGGGAGGGGGGTGGTCGGACTCCCCCCCGGCCTTAAGAGGGGGAGGGGGGGGTCGAACATCTCACTCCCCCTTTGAAGGGGGTGGGGAGGGGGGGGAGGGGGGGGGGAAGGGGAGGGGGGGAGGGGGGGGAGTGGGGAAGGGGGGGGAGGGGGGGAAGGAGGGGGGGGGGGGTCACCCCCCTTTTGTGTGTTCAGGGGGATCCACCGGCGCGCTTTCCAAACTCACTGCTCCTCCGTGTCTGCGCTAAGTGTCGCGTTCTCGCCATTTCGGGCATCCGACATCTGAAGACAGCCCCTGATGAAGGCATCCAAACAGCCCCATGACGGCCCAGGAGAGGCCCCCCAACGAGCCCCTCAGACGGCCCAAGAGGACCCCACGACGGCCCAAGAAGACCCCAAGACGGCTCCAAGGGGCCCCAAGAGGCCCAGCAGACCTCAAAGACGGCTCTAAAGCACGCAAAGAGGGTGACACGACGGCCCAAAGTGTTCAAGAGACCCTCAGGAGGCCCCCAGACGTCCCAAAGAGGCCCTCCGAAGCCGCAAGAGGCCCCCATGAGGACCTCAGAGGCCCCCTGGGAGGCCTCATGCTCCTACTCCTCGTCCTCCTCCTCCTCCTCCTCCTCCTCTTTCTCCTCCCGTTCCTCCTCCAACCCCCTCTTCCTCCCACGAGTGCTCCCCCAAGGGATCTATGACGCCTGAGGGAACACGAAGGCCAGTAGCCTGGCAAGACTTCGGCCAATGTTTGGCCACGTAGGCGTTTCCAGAAGCCAGGGCCTGCGGTGGTTCGCCATTAGCGTCTTCGATAACAACGAGGGGGGGGCATGAGGAGGGACCAACAACGCGGAGGTTACCTGGGCGATACTGGGCCTGGACTCAGCCGGTAGCGTGGGCCGCGTCCGCCCATTCTGCCCGAGGGCATCCATGATTCACTTCACCACGAGGGCGCCACCCTTCTTCACCACGATGACGAGCTCGTTCGCCTTGACCTCCTTGAGCATGTCCTCGGAGTTGCTGCTCACGCCGTTGATGGATGTGATGAGGTCGTTCGTCTCGATCGTGCTGCCAGGGTTCTTGTCGTTCCAGTCCTTGACGATGCCATCCTTGACTTGCTTGACTTTCAGAGCCTTATTCTTCTCTTCTCCATAGTGAAAATGGGAGATGTCGAGACCAAGTTTCGCGTCACCCGTCTTCGTGAGGGTGACGGTGATTTCATGTGCCGTCGCGGCGGCTGGCTCGCGGGCACTCGTTTCCTGGACGTCCTGGACCTCAACCGCCTCCGCCGTCTCGGGCTGGGAGCACAACCCGCCCATCACGACAGTCCTCCTTGCACCGTTGGCCCTGGTGGGTCTCTGGTCGGCGCGCTCAGGGAGCCCGAGCGACTACGGCGCGAATGAAAACAGCTTGAGGCAGAAATAGCGAGGCGCAGGATGAGGGGGGGGCGAGGGAGGATAAGCAGGAGGAGCTCCAAGCGGCTTACCCAGGCACTCACTTCAGCTTGCGGCTCCTTCAATGGAGGACAGCGGGTACGCAGGCCGAGAGCAGGGCTGGGAGACTGAGTAGGCAGCCACGCGTGTACGCGTGCCCCCTGCAACTTCTGCCCAGAAATTTTGGCCAGGTTGCGGGCCCAAAAACTGCGAGCGGGCGCATGTGAAGTGAACTCCCATCGACGAGAACCCCCCTGGATCAAACCGACTGGCGGGACAGTCAACACTGATCGTGAGGATGCGCGGTAATGATGCAAGCCCCTTGCACGCCCATGTCGAAGCTTTTCGAGCGGGGCTGGCAATCGAAAGTGGTTGAGGTTGGACCGAAGATGACCGAACAGGCAAGGATGCAAGGGTACCCTTTGGAAGTATCCTTCCCATCAGTGTTGACTGTAAGGGCAGGGGTCACGCGTGGATGCCTATCCCGGGGGCGGAGGAGGCAGTTGGGCGGGGAAGGCGCACGGCAGGCTATAAAGGCGAATCTCAGCCCGAGCCGCGCGAATCTCCCACCTAATGAGCCCATAGAGTCGGGCGTTGCTAGGGTTAGGTCGGGCGTGTCCCCCCGACAGGCGGATGTTGGAGGAAAAACAATAGAAACCCCAAACATGCTCAAACATAGTCGAAACATTGTCAAACAAATCGTCCCCAGAATATTTGTCAAACTATTTTGGACCATTCCTCCCGTAGAGGGACAGGCCCGACTTACTGCCCGGGGTGCCCCCGGGCTCATGGTGTCCGCCGGGGATTCCGAGGATGCCCCCCGCAGCCTGCAGAGAGCACCCCTCACGATGGCCCAGCGGGCCCAGGGGCTCCAAAATGGAGCGAAAAGCTGAGGGCACCTTAAAGCCAGGGGCACCTTTAGCAACCCCCGATCGAGGGGCAAGCATCGGGGGGAACGAAAGGGGGGGATAGCAAAGGGTAGGCTAGAGAATCCGCTCACGTAGCTGATTTTCCCAGCGCCTCCCAGCGCCAGGAGGCGCCCATGTATCTAGCAATGGGCCCGGCGGCGGGGCCGAAGCCAGCTGCATTCAGCAGATGTTCTACCCCCCCCTTTTCCTATTCCCCCCTTTCGTTCGGCCCGAAAGCAACAACATAAACACAAACTCTTGGGAGGTCTGCGCGGAGTTGTTGGCGCGCCAGGGGCGGCGCCGGAGGCGCCGTCAGGGGGGCCCGAGCGCCGACCCAAGGAATCCGCGCGGAGCTCCGAGAGTGTATGTCTGTGCTGTTGTTGTTGTTCTTCTTCTTCTTCTTCGATGGGCAGCGGGTGATGCCTTTTCGTTGCAGTCTCATTAGTGCGCGGCGAGCCTGCGCTCGTCAGGGGAACCTGTCCGCACAGATGCCGCGGATCGTGCTGTTCCACCGGCTTCGGTGCCTTTGACCTTCCAGGTGACAGATCGGCTAAACACAAGGAGAGCGGGCACCGTGGGGGATTGAGGAGTGAGGAGGCGACTCCCCCACCGCGAGGCGCAGCGATCTGTCCGTGTGTGTGTGTCGTGGAAACAAAACGGCCACTTCAACTCGACGTCGCTTGGGTTGTAATTTCGGCTTCGCTCCCACGCAGTGTGGTTCATTTGCCGTGAGCGCGCCCCGCCTTCGTAGTATGGGGACCACAGGCTACATCCCATCGGAGCGACACATGAAGAAAAATACGTTTGCATGGGTCTGCGGCGTATTCGGGTTTGCCGCTGGCCGCTGGCCCGTCTCCCTCCTCCCCTCTCCCTCCCTCTGAGGAATTGCGCTCTCATGTTTCCTTCCGCCTCATTGTCGCCTGCGCGTCTCGGGCATCTACTGACCCTGGCCAATCCAAGCCCGAGTCAGTCGGGCTTTGGAAGATCCTGCAACATCCTGCAGGATCCTGCACCCTGATCCGGGTGAGTGCGCCCATGGCTCTGCAGGATCCTGCAAGATCCGGCGCTCGGGCTGACCCCCGTTCCATTGACCCCCGTCTCGTGAGCCCCGAGCGCACCTTCTAAGAAGTGTTCTGCGTCTTCAGGGAAGGCTTAGAAAGGAGGGTTTCGAACCTTCGGAAAAAAGGCCCGCCCCTTCTTTGAGCAGGGACCGACCGTCCCGGCATTCCTATAGTCCTACCACGAAAGTTCTAAGAACCCAAAAATGTTCCAAGAACCAAAACAAGGTCCTTAGAACATAAACCCGATGTGCTCAAACAATACAGCACCAACCAAAACTGTTCTAAGAGCGTGTCGGGCAAACCACGGAAGGCTCTGAGAGCATTCTTTGGCGGGCCGATGGACGAGTTGGGACGCTTCGCCACTGCTTGACGCCTCGCTTCCCCCCGCGGCTCGCCGCCGATTGCTGCCCAACCTCGCCGGCGCCCCTCTCAGCGGAGGGGTCTTCCTGCCAGCCGCGGGCCCCGGCGAGGGCGCCGCTCTCGATCCCAGCGGGTGCCCCGCGCACTTGAGGGGGCGGTGCCCCGGGTCAGGACGCGGGGCCTCGGACCCCTGCCTCTCTTCTCGAATCCGGAGGGGCAACGATCGGGGGGGATTGCTATTGTGGGTACCGCGACAATGGGCATCCGAACAGTCCTATCATCGGCGGTGGACAAACCTCCCTTTAGTACACCTCCCCTTCGTGAAAACGGCCTGGGACCGAAACCGATGGACCTGGACCCGCAAAAATGACGGCCGCGGCTCCCTCTCGCGAACCGAAATCGGCCAATTCCTGAATCGACGTGTCAGGGTAGGAGGTCTGTCCACCCCCGAGACAATGGACACCCTAACAGTCCTATAATTGAATTTACAATGTGTTTAACATGTCGGAGAAACGTCCTGAATTGAGTGCGCCCGAGGGGTCAAAACTGTAGGGGGGCGGAAAGTCAATACGATCAGCGGCGACACTTCGTTTTGCACTTCTGCCGTCAAGACGATCAGCGGCGACACAACTGGAAGCAAGAGAATCGGCGAGGACACTCACCAACGACACAACCAAAAGCAGGACATCGTCGAGGACACTCATGAACGAAACTCGTGGCCGCATGGGCCACTTGGCCGGCCCTTTTTTTTTCAAAGCAGCTATCCCTTTCCGACGCGCGCCGAAGCACATCGACGGTTTTACACGACCACGGAAGCACGCGACGGCAAATTTCGCCAGGACAGACTTTACAATGAAGTTATGTTCGGGGTCGTCGCCCCCGCAGCCGTTCAGCCATCATCATTTACTATGCGCGCGCACAAACATCATCACCATCATCATTGACCCCCTCCTCCTCATCATCCCCCTATCCTTCCCTATCCCTCCCTACCCCTCCATCCTGCCCTATCACTCCCCGTCCCTCCCTATACCTCCGTATCCATCCCCATCTCTCCCTATCTCTCTTTATCCCTCCCTATCCCGCCCTATCCCTCCCTATCCCTCCCCATCCCTCCTACCTATCCCTTTCCTATCCCTCCCTCCCGATCACACCCAGTTCCCACCCTATCCCCCCCCCCCCCCCCTACCCTTGGAGATGAAGGGGTTGATGGGGAGAAGAGGAAGAGGATGATAAGCAAGGAGAGGCGGAGGATATGGGTCTGACGCCCCTCCGCCGCGCCGCTCGCGCCCCCTCGCAGCGGCTTCCCAAGGCGGCGCTCGCCTCGCTGGGGGGAGGGGCCAGATGGGTGGCCCTCTCACCCCCCTCCTGAAACAAAAAGGCACAAGCTGGCTGCTCAGCCTTCCTGCCCTCCATCCTTCTATCCCCATCCTCTCCCTCCTGTCCCTCCTCCCTCCTCCCTCCGTCCCGCCTCCTCCTCCGCCTCATCCTCGTTCAGTATCCTCCTCCTCCTCCTCCCCTCCTCCTCCTCCCTCCTCCTCCTCCTCCTCCCTCCTCCTCCTCCTCCTCTTCTCCTCCCCCTCCTCCCTCCTCCTCCTCCTCCCCTCCTCCTCCTCCTCCTCCTCCTCCTCCTCCTCCTCCTCCCCCCATCTTTCTCCTTCCCCCGCCCTCCTCCTCCCCCTCCTCTTCCTCCTCCTCCTCATCAGATTACTCCTCATTCCCCCGCCCCTCCCCCCACCTTTTGATCCTCCCCCCCCCCCCCCTCCCCCCCCCCCACCTCCACCCCCCCTCCTCCTCCTCAGCATCATCATCTCTTCTCGCGGTGGCTGAGCAGCTCAGCCTCCGCGTTAGCGCAAGGTGCGCTCACGACGAGCGCTTCGCGCGCTTCAGGCCCCCAGGCTTGACCCTGGAGTTGTCGCTGGAGGCGCGCTTCTGGGAGTCGCCCTCCGCCGCCGAGGCCTCCTCCTTGACCTTCGTCGCGGAGGCCGCCCCCTTCAACACCTGCTGCGCCTTCGGCCGCGGCGTCCCGCACACGGAGCCCGCCGCGCTGCCGTCGCCCTTGGAGCTGGCCCCCTCGGCGGCGGGGGCCCGCTGCTCCTGGGCAATGTTGTCGAACTCGACCCAGAAGCCCTTCGGGATGTCTTTCGCCTTCTCGGCGCGGCGCGCCGCGAGGTACTCGCGGGCCAGCTTCGGGCCACCCGGCTCGGTCCGCAAGGGCGGGAGCAGCTGCGCACCCTTGAGCATGCTCACCACTTGCTGCGCCTTCGCCTGGAAGGCCCCCAACTCCTCAGATTCCTCATTGCCCTCCGGCTCCTCCCCCTCCTCCTCCTCCTGCTCCTCCTCCCCCCACCCATGCCCGCCCTTCGCCTCGTCGTCATCGCGATCCTCGCCCATCCTCTTCATCATCATCCTTCTCCTTCTCCTCCTTCTCCTCATCCCCCTCCTCCCCCTCCTCGCCCTCCTCCTCCTCATCATCCCCCTTCGCCTCCTGCTCCTCCTCTTCCTCACCCCCCTCCTCCTCATCCTCATCCTCTCATTCTCCTCCTCATCATCCTCCTCC